CCCCTAGACCCCTAACCCCTGCACCAGCAGTGACCCAGGCGCAGGGGCGTAGCGCAGGAGCCGGAGCAGGGCCCCAGCCACCTCCAGGGTTTAGGGTTTAGGGTTTAGGGTTTAGGGTTTAGGGTTTAGGTTTTAGGGTTTAGGGTTTAGGGTTTAGGGCGCTCGCGCGTTCAACGTCAACCCAACAGAGCCCGAAACCCGAAGCAAATTCACATTGAATCCCCAAAAACCCAAAAACCCTAAACCCTAAACCCTCCCAGAGACTCCAAAACCCCTTAATTAAGGAATATCCCTTAAATCATAACAGGAACCCTAATATGATTTAAGGTATATTCCTTAATTAAGGGGTTTTGGAGTCTCTGGGCTAAACCCTAAACCCTAAACCCTAAACCCGAAACTTCACTTTCAACGCCTGGCCGAAGAGCGGCACGCAGCCCGCTGCCAGCGCCTGGAAAGTGTTCTGCGCTGCTTGAGGCTTATGCGGGGGTTTGGGGTTTAGGGTTTAGGGTTCGGGGTTTAGGGTTTAGGGCTTAGGGTTTGGGTTTAGGGTTGGGCGTTGCGGGTTTGGGGCTTAGGGTGTGGGGTTTGGGGGTTTAGGGTTTCGGTGCTTTGGGGCTGCTGTTCAGGCCTTCAAGGGTTTCGAGGGCTCTACGGGGTGTAGGGTCTAAACCCCTTGAATGCCTGAACCCCGTATAGGGAGCACTCCTCCCTCAACCCTAAAGCTGCAACCACCCTAAATGCTCCAGACTCCAAACCCTATACACCCTATAAACCCTAAACCCTAAACCCCCCGTCTGTGGCGCCTGGTGAAACAGTTGTCGGAGCGCTTGGAGGTCGGTCTCGTCGGCCGCCAGGGTTCTGAGCGGACGGAGATGCTGGTTCTGGGGGTTTGGGGTTTAGGGTTTGGGGTTTAGGGTTTGGGGTTTAGGGTTTGGGGTTTAGGGTTTAGGGTTTAGGGTTTAGGGTTTAGCGTTTAGGGTTTAGGGTTTAGGGTTTAGGATTCTAGACATGCCTCAGACCAACCCAGCGCTCCCCTCCCTAGTCCACGTCAGGCAGCGCGCAATGCTCGGGGGCGCGATCCAACAGCCTCCTGGCGGAATCTCCGGTATACATGGCACCCAGGAAGCTGACTAAACCCTATAGGGTTTAGGGTTTAGGGTTTAGGGTTTAGGGTTTAGGGTTTAGGGTTTAGGGTTTTAGGGTTTAGGGTTTAGGGTTTAGGGTTTAGGGTTTAGGGTTTAGGGTGTAGGGTGTAGGGTTTAAGGTTAGGGTATAGCGTTTAGGGTTTAGGGTTTAGGGCTTAGGATTCAGGGTTTTGGGGTCCTGAGCTTACAAGCAGGGTGTGCTGCCAAAAGCTTTCGGGTCTTGGTGGGCTTTAGGTTTAGGGTTTAGGGTTTCGGGTGTAGGGTTTAGGGTTTAGGGTCTTTGGGTTTCAGGTCTTTGGGTGACCCCAAACCCCTAAACTCCGCTACCAATCACCAAACCGCCCTCAAGCGCTGAACCCCCAAACTTTCCAGTTCTTAATAGGGAATTGCGGAATTCAGCACTTTATATCCCCCTTCATGTATCCATTTAACGGATCATGCGGGGGTGAGAACACTCTGAATCCTGAACTATCGTGTGGGTTTAGGGTTTAGGTTTTAAGGTATAGCTCTCATGGGAGTCTACACCCCCCACCCCACCCCCCGCCCTTCCTTTTCAACTACGGAACGTACCCTAAATCAGAAGAGCCCAAAGGTTTAGGGTTTTCGGGTTTAGGGCTTAGGGTTACCTAACTAACCCTAAACCCTAAACCCTAAACCCTAAATGGTACGCGTATGCTCCAGCAGCCGTCCTCAGCGATGCTCCATCCACCAGAGGCCAACTGTGCAACCGCTCCCAGTAGTTGAAGCCTGCACGGGAACTAAGACCCAAGAGTAGACCCTGAACGGCGAAACCTCTACCTCAAACCCTAAACCCCAAACCCAAAACCCCAAAACCTCTACCTCAAACCCTAAACCCTCAACCCCAAACCCTCAACCCCAAACCCTGAACCCTAAACCCTAAACCCGAAACCCTAAACCTCAAACCCTACGGGCGGCCGCGCCGTGTTGGGCGCCAGGGCGGCGCACCCAGCCAGACGGAAGCCGCGACGAGCCGGCAGCCGGAGCCTGCGCAGGTGAGGGTTTAGGGTTTAGGGTTTAGGGTTTAGGGCTTAGGGTTTAGGGTTTAGGGTTGAGGGTGTCGGGTTTAGGGTTTAGGGTTTGGGGTTTAGGGTTTAGGGTTTGGGGTTTGGGGTTTAGGGTTTAGGGCTTGGGGTTTGGGGTTTAGGGCTTTGGGGGTTAGGGGTTAGGGTTTTTACCTAAACCCTAAACCCTAAACCCGCATTTGGATGAGGGCTGAAGGTACTTGAGTGAGTCTGTGTTCTTGAGCTGTCAGACCCTAAACCCTAAACCCTAAACCCTAAACCCTTAACCCTAAACCCCAAGCCAGAATCCTCGAACCCTCCGCCACGCGACCACCTCCTGCCTCCCACTCTACCAGGACCTCCCGCCCTTCCGGGTCGCGCTGGAGCATCCTGCAAAAGTGTCTCAAGGGTCTGGGGTTCAGGGTTTAGGGTTTAGGGTTTAGGGTTTAGGGTTTAGGGTTTCGGGTTTAGGGTTTAAAAATCAGGGTTTAGAGTCTAAAGTTTAGGGTCGTCCGGGGTTTTCTGGGAGCTCCGTCCTCCAACAGCCTCCTGAGAAAAACCCGAAAAACCCTAAGCCCCCGAATCCCCAAAAACCCGAAAGCAACCCTAAGACAGCCCTTAACCACAACAATCCTAGAACCCTCAAAACCCTAAACCCAAAACCTTAAAACCCCAAAAAAAAATATCAAAAACCCTCTCCCGCCCACATTCCCTCACCCAGACCTGGGCGACCCCCGTTCTGGGGTAAAATATGTGGGTACCAAAGCCGAAACCAAACCCGCAAACCCTAAAGCCCACAGCCCTGAAACTCTAGACTCTATACCCTGTAGACCCTACATACCCCATATACCCTAGAAACCCCTTTAAGCCCTTGCATTAAGCGAATCCTAGAATTTGGGTGTCTAATTTTGGTGTTCCCTATTTTCGTAAACCCTCATATCCCCTATAACACCTACTCCAGCACGCTCCAGAAGTCCTAGCAGGCCACCAGCTCCCATGCCACAGCGCTTCAACTTCTGCGCCCTCCTCTCAAGAGCAAGTGAGGGGCTCAGGGGTGCCTTTTCGGGTGAATGCCTATGTTGAAGTTTAGGGTTTAGGGTTGAGGGGTTAGGGTTTAGGGTTTAGGGTTTAGGGTTTAGGGTTTAGGGTTTAGGGTTTAGGGTTTAGGGTTTAGGGTTTAGGGTTTAGCGTCAGTATCCGTTGAAGGGCTGTGAAGTGCGGGGTTTGTCACATTAGGTTTTGGGGGCCTCGTGGGCTGATACCCCACCCTACGACCCCGACTACCCCTACCGCCCCAAAATGAGATGAAAGTACCCCACCGTATTCCCTGAACCCCCTAAACCCTGAACCCTAAATCCCTCTAAATCCCAGGTAGACGGGAGATACGGCGGTAGCATGGGGCCCTAAAAATCAAGCCAGGCTCGAGGCGCTTGGAACCCCTAGCTTGCCGCCCAGGAATCGCCCCTAAACCCTAAACCCTAAACCCTAAACCCTAAACCCTAAACCCTAAACCCTAAACCCTAAACCCTAAACCCTAAACCAACCCAAGAACGTAGTCATGCCATCTTTGCGTGCCCTGGCGCAGCAGCTTCTGATCCCTAAACCCTACATCACAAACGTTTCCTACAGATTCGACCAACACCAGCATAGTCGATCAAGTGATCCGGGGTCTAGGCAGTACTCCTGTGCCCATTATAAGTGGGTTATAAGTACAGTTAGAATTGGGTATAAGTACCATGAACCTCCACGCGGCCGACGAAGATGCTAGGTTGCGAACTCCCCAAAATTTCTGAGGCCGAAACCCCAAACCCAAACTGCACTGTATACTGGGTTTGGGGTTTAGTACTTAAGGGTTTAGGGTGTAGGGCTTAGGGTTTAGGGCTTAGGGCTTTCAAGAAACCCCCTTGGCGCTCCTCTGACACGACCTTGCGGCGGCAGTTGTGTGTCACGGTGCAGCTAAACCCTAAACCCTAAACCCTAAACCCTAAACCCCAAACCCCAAACCCCAAACCCTAAACCCTAAACCCCAAACCCCAAACCCCAAACCTTCAACGAAAGTCGAATCTGGCGGTGGTGTTTGGGGGGGTGTCAGGGTTCTTCGGTCTGAGGGCTTCGGCTTTAGGGCTAAGGGCTTAGGGCTCAGGGCCTAGGGTTTAGGGTTTAGGGTTTAGGGTTTTCGGGTTTTAGGGTTTAGGGTTTGGGGTTTAGGGTTTAGGGTTTAGGGTTTTGGGTTTAGGGTTTTGGGTTTAGGGTTTAGGGTCTAGGGTCTAGGGTCTAGGGTCTAGGGTCTAGGTTCTAGGGTGTACGTGGAGCGCAGGGTCTTGAAGCACATCCCACACATACAAAGAACCCTAGAAAGCGCACACGCTCGAAGGTGGGGATTGGAACAGAATTCATCAACCCTGGGCGCTGAAACCCCAGAGCTTGATCCCGGCGGCTAGAGTCTAAAACCCACAGCCGCAAAAACCGCAACTGCACCCCCTAAACCCCAGACTCTCAAACCCTAAACCATCAACCCCCAAACCCTCACCCCAAACCCCAAACCCTAAACCCCAAACCCTTGTCTACCCCAGACCCCAAATTCTCAAACCCTAAACCCCAAGCCCCTTCTAGAGACCCCTCCCTATACGACATACATCTGTATATCTATTGCCTCATTTGTATCTCTTGTTGCTCTTGTACCTGTCTACTTATTTATATATATATATATATATATATATATATATACGTAGACATATATATATAATGTACATAGATTCATATACATTTATTTATTTATGTATTTATATACTCACACGTGTTATATACACATCTGTTTCACTCTTTGTTATTATTATAGGTCAATCCTGGCCTCCCCTTCCAGGAGGGGCCGCGCCAGTCCCTGCAGTGCCCGCGCCAGGGAAAGAGCCGGAGGCGTCAGGGACCTTGGTTCAGGGTTTAGAGTTTAGAGTTTAGGGTTTATGGTTTAGGGTTTAGGGTTTAGGGTTTAGGATTTAGGGTTTAGTCGCGCAAAAGCCCTTAAACCCAAAACCCTAAGCCCTCAAAGCCGGTAACTTGAAAACATTCTAAAGTTCAAAACGGAAACTCCTCGAAACTGTTCTCGAAACTTTTTCCGGGCCGGAAAACCCTAAAACCACCCCGAACCACCCAGACCTGATTGCGTTCGGGATTAGGGTTTGCTTTGTCTTGGTATCCGAATTGTACGACAGAAATCAGCCTGATCCAAGTACGATTCGGAACAGGAAACAAACTTTCCCCTTCAAGACCGGGAAGGTCGGAGTTTCAGCCACAACGAGTCTCCGAAGATAACTTTACCTTTGAAGAGAAAAACACGACGCATTGGCCAAAACTAGCCCGTGCAAAGATCACATGAACCTGCCAAGGCTTTCGTGGTTCAGGGTTTAGGGTGTAAAAGTTTAGGGTTCAGGGTTTAGGGTTCAGGGTTTAGGGTTTAGGGTTTGGGGTTTAGGGTTTGGGGTTTGGTTTTTAGAGTTTGGGGTTTAGGGTTTAGGGTTTAGGGTTTAGGTATTTGTTTTTGAAGCCTTCCATGCTCTGTTGGGGCCGTCTAGGGGCTTTCTGGAGCCTTTTGGGGAGGACGGGGGGGTTCAAGCTGAAGGGTTACAGAAATGTTCAGGGGCTGTGCGCTCTGATAGGGCTTTTCAAGCTGTGAAGGCAGGGGGCGCGGTCTTACAAGCTATCTCTTCTGGTGCTAAGCTCACTGGGGGTTTTTGGTTGATCCCGAGGGGTTGTGAGGCAGAAGGGAGTGGAGAGGTCCCTAAACCCTAAACCCTGAACCCCAAACCCCAAACCCTAAACCCCAAACCCCAAACTCTAAAAACCAAACCCCAAACCCTAAACCCCAAACCCCAAACCCTAAACCCTAAACCATAAACCTCATGTTCTCCTGGCCCAGGTGCAGCTGGAGGGCAGCATCTCTGAAGCAAACCTCTCGGGCAGTCGGTGATGGTTGAGGGTTGAGGACTGCTTGAAGGTCTGTGGGACTTCCTAACGGGCTATAGGGTATAGGGCTTGGCGTTACTCACGGGTTGCAGTGGCCATAATCCTACTTGCTTGTAGTTCCCTGAACTGGCTTTATACAAGGTTCCGCGAATCACAACTTGGCTGAGGGCCCCATTGCACTAGTTAGTAAGCCCTTTGCACCTTCAAGTGAGGGTTTAAGTTTCTGGGCGTTGCGCTCGGATGATTACAAAACAGCCCTAAACCCTAAGCCCGAAACCGATTTAGGGTCAGGGTTTAGGGTTTGGAGTCCAGGGTCCTGTTTCCTGGAAGCCTGCTTCACGGACGTGTTGCCACAAGCATTCGTGGTCATCTCGCCGAGAGCCACAAAACATCCGCGGATCAACGTAAAGCTTGGTACTGGCATACTTGAAGGTTCATAGTACTTCTTAACCCAACTCGAAGTGTACTTATAAACCAATTACAGCCACATTAGGGTACTTCAGGGTCTTATCGGAGAGTTATAAAGTACACTTACAGTTGGGCTACAAGTGCCATGAAATCCTAAGCCCAGGAACCTATCACGCGTCTCCAAGGTCTCGAAAGCACCTCTGGCTGGGCTTGTAAACCCAACAATCTTCGACAGCGCGCCCCCTGCAAAAGCAACCCTCCAGGAACAGTTGAGGGTTGAGGGTTGAGGGTGGAGGGTGGAGGGTTGAGTGTTGAGGGTTGAGGGTTGAGGGTTGAGGGTCGAGGGTTGAGGGTTGAGGAACCCTAAACCCTAAACTTTGTCGGCTTGGCCCCCACGCCTGAAAACGGGGGCTGTCAGCGTCCTGGGTGGGCAACGATAGGGTTTAGGGTTTAGGGTTTGGGGTTTAGGGTTTAGGGTATGGGGGTTTTGGGTTCAGGGTTTAGGGTATGGGGGTTTAGGGTTTAGGGTTTGAGGTTTGGTGTTTAGGGGCTTGGGGTTTTGGGGTTTTGGGGTTTGGGCGTTTAGGGATTTGGGGGCTGGGGCTTAAGGCGGCCTTTTTAGGGCTTGGGGCTTTGGGTTTTAGGGTTTAGAGCTTTTTGGTTTTGGGTTTGGGGCTTGGGCCGTTAAACCCTAAACCCTACAACGCAAGACCCTCAACACTACATGGCCATTTCCCAAAAATGGTGGTACCCCTGATATACCCCAAATACTAGAATCCTGATTTAGGAGCCACCAAAAGGGGCACACCCTGTTTTCGGAAACCCCACATCTCTGCGCCCGAAAACTTAAACCAGCCTCTGCGAATAAACAGAGAGGTTTGAGGTTAGGGTTTTGGGTTTTGGGTTTTTGGTTTTGGGTTTAGGGTTTAGGGTTTAGGGTTTGGGGTTTAGGGTTTAGGATTTAGGGTTTAGGCTTTAGGGTTTAAGGTTCAGCAAAAAGATGCAGAAAACGACTGGCCAAAACACGGTCAAAAACTGATCAATGCCCGGACAGAAACCCAGACGAAAATCCCATACACCAAGCCCCAGACCCTAAACCCCAAAAACCCACAAAGCCAGGTGGTTGACCTAACTGAGGCTCGATGGAGTCGCGAAACGACTTTCCAACTCCACAAAGTGATGAAATTATAAAACTTCCAGCACATCATTCTGAAGCAAAAAGGGATGGTTTAGGGGAGCTCAGGGTTGAGGATTCGGGCTGAAAAGGCCGACACCTCACACAGGCCGGAGTCTAAATACGCAAGGTCCTCGGCGGGCACCCAAAAAGCCCCAAGAAGCCCACAAGCCCCCAAACCCTGCACATCCTAAACCCTAAACCCTGACAAGCCCCCCCCCCCCCCCCAACAAAGCCAGGAATCGAGTAGTTGGCCCACGAGTCGCAGGCCCAAACCCTGGAGGACCCAGTGGCCCTGCTCCTTGGGTTTAGGGTTTAGGGTTTAGGGCTTAGGGTTTAGGGTTTGGGGGCTTCAGGTTGTCAGGGTTTAAGGGCTTCAGGGCTGCGGGCTTCTGCTTGCGTTTTTCGGCCACATCCCCTCGGAAGAAGAGACCCTGAAAAACCCTTCGGCCGAAGCAATCCGGGCGACCAAGAGCAGCAGGCCCAGTTGGACCTCGAAAGAGGCAGGCTTGGGTTTTAGGGATTTTCGGGCTTAAGGCTTCAGGCTTTAGGTTTTTTCGGGTTAGGGTTTTAAGTTTTAAGATTTAGGGCTCGGGTTGAGGGTTTAGGGTTTAAGATTTGGGGTTTAGGGTTTAGGGTTTCGGGTACTCCCCTCAGCCGTCAAACGTGTTAGCCCCTTCCAACCTTTCGAGCCCACGCGGCCGTCTCTGACGGGCAGGCATCCCACATGCGTTGCCGGAGGAAGTGCAGGCGACCGAAGAAGAGAACCATGTCCACCTAGGCTTAGGGCTTAGGGTGTAAGGTTTAGGGTTTAGGGCTAGGGTGTCGGGTTTGGGGTTTAGGGGGCGGTGTAGGATTAGGGCTTGGGGCTTAGGGCTTAAGGCTTAGAGCTTCCGACTTCGAGCTTCGGGCTTGGGGCTTAGGGCGCACGAATTAAATTTAGGATGTCTGCGTTGGCAAGCACAGAGGCTTAAGTCAGTTGAGTCCGTCACTCTCCTGGGGCTTGCGAGGCACTTTTGGCCCCATCTTTATCGTTTGCGTTTCTTGAGACTCATGCAGCGAACCTGCTTCCAGCCACAAACACACCCCCTCACCCTGAGCCTAAACCCTGAACCCCCAACCCAAAACCCAAAAACCCCCAAAACCCTAAAAACCCTAAACCCATCAAATCTACAACCCTTAAACCCTAAGCCCTAAAACTCTTGACCCTAAACCCTAAACCCTAAGCCCAAAAACCCTAACACCCCAAAACCCTAAACCCTAGCCCTAAACCCTAAACCCTAAACCCAATAACACTAAAACCCTGAAACCCTAGACCAAGCCAAGGAACGGCCAAGCAAATGTGCTCCAACTTGTCCGCGTCGGCGGCTAGCAGGATTCGAAACGGGATCAAGTCCTCTGCAAATTTTCAAGGCTCGGGGAGGTTTAGGGTTTAGGGTTTAGGGTTTAGGGTTTAGGGTTTAGGGTTTTTAGGGTTTAGGGTTTAGGGTTTAGGGTTTAGGGTTTAGGGTTTAGGGTTTAGGGTTTAGGGTTTAGGGTTTAGGGTTTAGGGTTTAGGGTTTAGGGTTTAGGGTTTAGGGTTTAGGGTTTTTAGGGTTTAGGGTTTAGGGTTTAGGGTTTAGGGTTTAGGGTTAGGGTTTAGGGTTTAGGGTTTAGGGCTTAGGGCTTAGGGCTTAGGGCTTAGGGCTTAGGGTTTAGCATTTAGGGTTTAGGGTTTAGGGTGTCTCAATGAATGGGCGCTGTGGTGCTGAAAGCACCCAGGCGCGCGCCCCGACCTGCATAAGCCCACCCCCTCTGGCGCTCCACCCTCACCTTAACCTCTACGGGTTTAGGGTTCTGAACTCTGATCGTGCTTTTGTTATTTTTCTTTCATGGTTGGGTCTCGAAAGACTACAAACACGGCCCCGATGTAGATATTTACCCTGAAGTTCGCAGCCCCGTGGCGTTGCAAGGGATGATGTCCATCACTCGAGGGCTTCTGGGAGGGCTAAAAAGTGAGAGGTTTGGGATTGGGGCTGGCTGCCTTGGCGACGCTGCATCTTGGTTGGGGATCTGGATCACTTTCTTGGAAGTGCCTGAAGTCAGATGTTTGGGATGTGGGGTTGCTGCCGCTTTCGCCCTTAGTGATGCTGCTTGTTTGGGAGTCGAAAAAAGCTTGGGAATGGGGCTGGCGATGCTGCATCTTGGTTCGGGACGGGGTTGCTGCCGCGCGCCCTTGCTGCAGGGGTACTGTCAGACAGGCAGGGGCCTCCCACCCCCAGGCAAGCAGGCAGGGGCCTGCCAGGCAGGGGCCTGGCGCGGGCCTCCCAGGCAAGGACTTCAAACCGGACCAAGACAGAGGCAAGCCTTGCAAGCAGCGGCCTCCTCCGGAGCTACCTCGCCTGCCGGCTCTCGACGGCCCCGGGCTCACTCAGTTTAGGGCCTAAGGCTTCGCTATGGGATCAAGTCCACGGTAAATTTTCAAGCCTCGGGGTGAAGGGCTTACTATGGCTCTAAGGCTTAGGGTTTAAGGTTTAGGGTTCAGGGTTTAGGGTTTAGGGTTTAGGGTTTAGGGTTTAGGGTTTAGGGTTTAGGGTTTAGGGCTGGGGTCTAGGGTATGTAAGCGCTATTCAAGCCGTTGTTGGGGTTTCCGGTCCTCGTCGGCCGCATTGATGGAGAGGACAAGGTCCAGCTGAGGCCTGTGGGTTTGAGGGGTTTAGGGTTTTGGGTTTAGGGTTCAGGGTAAATTTAGGGTTTAGGGCGTTTTAAGGGCAAGAGTTCTTAGTCAAAAGCCCCTTGATCGCATCGAGTCCCTTGCACCCACCTCCAGAAGTCAACGCCTGCCGTGCACAAGGCCACGAGGAAACCACGAAGCCCGTAAAGGTTTGGGGTTTAGGGTTTAGGTTCAGGGTTTAGGATGTAGGGTTTAGGGTTCAGGATTTAGGGTTTAAGGCTTAGGGCCTCAAACCTATTTGGAGGCTCATGGGTAATTATAAGCAGGGTTCTAAGCAGGAAACCTCTGATTATACACTTATTTCGGGTACTTATAACCCCAAACCCCAAACCCTCAACCCCAAACCCCAAACCCTAAACCCCAAACCCTAAACCCCAAAACCCTAAACCCCAAACCCTAAACTCAAACCCCAAACCCTAAACCAAAAGCCCCTCTTGAGCCCACCTGGCGTGGCTGAAGGCCGCCGGCTGGCTATGCAGCTCCTGGCCACGGTTTAGGGCTTAGGGCTTAGGGTTCAGAGTTTAAGGTTTAGCGTTTCGGGTTTAGGGTTTAGGGTTTAGGGTTTAGGGTTTAGGGCTTAGGGTTTAGGGTTTAGGGTTTAGGGTCTGGGGAGTCTAGACCCAACCCCCGAACTCTAAACCCTAAACCCTAAACCCCTTAAAGCCTTCAACCTTAAACCCCTAAGCCTTAAAACCTGAAAACCCTTAAACCCTAAGCCGTAAACCTTACACCTTGAAAGCCCTAAACCCTAAACCCCAAACCCTCGAACCCTTAAACCCTTAGACCCTCAAACTCTTAGGCCCTTAAACCTGCAAACCCTTAAACCCTAAACCCTAAGCCTTAAAGGCCGCGGCCTAAACACTTACTTTTTTTCAGGGTTCAAGGGTTTAGGGCTAAGGGAATTTCAGGCTTTTAGAAGCTTGTATAAGGGTTTTTCAGGGTTGTTGAAGGGTTTTAAGGTTCTAAGGGTTTAGGGCTTAGACCCAGTCCTGCAAGCTTCTTTTGACCAGCCCGCCTTTTGTCCTGTGTGGAATATACAGGCGGGAAATCTCGCAAACAGTGCGCGGAAACTTCTTCCCCCTTATTCGCGGGCAGCTTGGCGGTCTGGGTTGCTCTGGCAGCGGTGGCGGCTGCAGCAGCAGGGGGCAAAGAAGACGAAGCTGAGGCTATCGCGAGAAGTGTGACAGATTCAGAAACCAGATCACTCGCGTGCACTTTCCAGGATCCCCAGTCATCGTCTGACTCGTGGGTTTTTTTTATATATTTAGGGTGTTAGGGGTGTTTAGGGTGTTTAGGGTGTTTCGGGCGCTTGGGGTGTTTAGGGTGTTTAGGGTTAAGTTTAAGATCTCGGGATTTCGGGTTTTGCCTGAGCCCTTCACCGCATCACCCTTTCCCCTGAAGTTGCCCAGTACCCCTACCTCCCTCTCGAAGCCCCAAAACCCTAAACCCGAACCTTAAACCCGAACCTTAGCCCCCAAACCCATTAAACCCTGAACCCTGAACCCTAAAACCCTAAACCCTAAACCCTAAACCCTAAACCCTAAACCCTGAACCCTAAAAAACCTCGAACCCCAAGATGAGAAGTTTCCAAGGGCTCTCCTTCAACCGTGCCCACGCCCACCGGAGCACTTCCTGGTGAGGTGCAAGCATCAAAGGCGCGAAGTTCAGGGCTTAGGGATCAGGGTTCAGGGTTGGGGTTTGGGTTTTGGGGTTTAACAGGGTGTAAGGGATTTAGAGTTCACAGGTGTGGGATTTCGTCGCTGTTTACAAGCCAGTATTGTGAGGTTGGGGTTCCGGGTGGAGGGAGTAAGGTTTGAGGGTGTAAAGTTGAAGGTTGATAGGGGTGAGTTTGGGTTGAAGGGTGTATCTAAGGTGAAAAGGTTTGGGGGTTCGGGGTTGTGTTTGGTTTCTGTTGGGGCGGCTCACCACTCGGTGCGTTGTAGTTCCGTTTTGAAGCCTAAAGCGCAGGCTGTGGGATCTGAGTGCAAAGATGTCGGTATAACTTAAATCATGGGGGGGCTAAACCCTAAACCCTATTCTGGTACTACCTGTTGTGGAATGTGCTTAGGTCGGGGGCAAGTTTAGGAGAAGGCTGTCGACAGGCTGGTTTAGGGTTTAGGGTTTATTAGGGTTTAGGGTTTAGGGTTTAGGGTTTAGGGTTTAGGGTTTAGGGTTTAGGGTTTCTAACGCAACACCACGAAGCCAAAGCGCGAACCTAATGGAGGGGTTTGGCTCATTGGAACGCATGTTAGGGTAGGAAAAACATGAATTATTTTAGGCTCCTGCTACAGCAACTCGAAGGCCGCGAAACTTCAAACAGAAAGAACTCCTCCCCCTGCCCTTCCCCTCAAAAAGGCTCCCTAAACCCCAGCCCCCTATACTAAAACCCGATCCGTCAACCCCACATCCTAAACCCTCCAGCCCCAGCAAGTGAAGGAATGAAATCTAGGGAAACCTTAAACCCTAGACCCTCATCCCCGTTAACATAAGAGACATTCATGCGGCACTTGATTCTCAAGGTTTGAGGGTTCAGGGCTTGGGGCTTGGCTTTAAGGTTGGAGTTCAAGCCTGAAGCCTTGTAGCAACGAATGAAATAGCAGCCCGGGCGCGACGCTCAGGATCTCGCCCCCAGGTCCTACCTCCCTCGTGCAAAGCACGGAGCTCCACCTGACAGTTGGGTGGGAGGGCGCGTGAACCTGCAAAGTTTGGGGCCCTAAACCCCAAACCCTAAACCCTAAACCCTAAACCCTCAACCGCAAATGTAAGGCCAACTTTGGGGCAAGGATTCGTGGGCATAGGCCCGGCCTTGAGGACCGCGATGCCCTAAACCCTTGAGACCCTGAACCCTTGGCCCCTAAACCCTTCAGACCCTTAACCTGAGACCCTAAACCCTTGAAACCCTAAACCGTTGAGACCCTAAACCCTTGAGACCCTAAACCCTTTGGTTTAGGATTTCCGCTTTCTCGTTTGCGAAGTGGTGGTCATTAGTTTTGTTGTTGGGCCATCTAATAATAAGAAGAGACTTTGTATTTCTTACTGCGGTGGGAACTCGGGTGGGTGGGTATTTTTCGATGTTCTAAACGACGAGCCTAAACGAGAAACTGCTCGACCAGGAGCTCTTAAACCCTAAACCCTAAACCCTAGACCCCAAACCCCAAACCCCAAACCCCAAACCCTAAACCCTAAACCCTAAACCCTACACCCTAAACCCTAAACCCTAAACCGTGAGTGAGTGAGGCGACTCCTGGAGGGAATCTCGGCCTCGCCCTCTCCTCCTGCGACATCGCCTGCTGCGAGAGGCGGTAGTCCGCAAGCTCCTGCTGCTGAGGGTTTAGGGTTTAGGGTTTTAGGGTTTAGGGTTTAGGGTTTAGGGTTTAGGGCTTAGGGCTTAGGGCTTCGGGTTTAGGGTTTAGGGTTTAGGGTTTCGGGTTTCGGGTTTAGGGTTGTGGGAACTTGAAGCGCCGGGGGTGTAGGGAGTTGGGGAGTTGGGGGCTTCGGGAGTTGAGGGTCTCTAGAAAGGAAGATGAAGACCCTGAAGGGCCCCTAAACAATAAACCCTAAACCCTAAACCCTTATATACTCCTAAACCCCAAACCCTAAACCCTGAACACTAAACCCTAAACCCTAAACCCTGCCCAGGGACCATTGGGTTTAGGGTTTGGGGGTTTGGGGTGTGGGGAATCCCGCAAAGGACCTGCGGGAGAATGGAGGATCTAGAAAGTCGTTACGGCCTCCTCTAACTTACCCAAACAGGGGTTTAGGGTTTAGGGTTTAGGGTTTCGGGCTTAGGAGTATATAAGGGTTTAGGGCTTAGGGCTGCGGGTTTCGGGTTTAGGGTTTAGGGTTCACCCTCCCGGAAGTCCGGGAGTACGAGCGCAAGAGCCCTCCCAGCCTAAACCCACCGGGCCCTAAACCCTTGAATCGGTCCTAAATCCCCAAAGTTTAGGGTTTCGGGTTTAGGGTTTAGGGTTTAGGGCTAGGGTTTAGGGTTTCGGGTTTAGGCCGTAGGGTGTCCCAGCCCCTGGACCCTGAAAGCACAAGCCCGAACCCCCCAGAAATCTCGCTCCAAGCCGAAGTCCCCCTGAAAGCCTACGCCCCAGAGACCCTGCGCAAAACGCCCCTAAATCCAGAAATTCCTACATCCCAAGACCACAAAAAAAAACTCAACACCCTAATGCCCTTTTTGTTGACAGTCGCAAACCCTACATCCTAAACCTTCCAGCCCCTCAACCCTACACACTGAAGACCCTCCAAATCGCCTAGATCCCCAAACTCGAAAGGCGACATCCCTGAAATCCTAAACTCTAAACCCTAAACCCCGAACCCTAAACCCTAGCCCTAAACCCTAAACCCTAAACCATAAGCCCTAAGCAACTAGAACCCCGAAAGCGTCCTGGAGCGCCGACTCGGCATCGCGGCGTGAGCCCCGGATGAGGCGCTGGGTCACCTGGTGACGAATTCTCAGCGTTTAGGGTTTATGTAGGGTTTAGGGTTTAGGGCTTAGGGTGTAGGGTTTAGGGTTTAGGGTTTAGGGCCTTAGGGTTTACAGCTTGGAGCTTCTGCGTCAGGCCCTTGGGTAGCTCTACTTGGAGGCTCATGGCACTTAATAACTCATGGTACTTAGTAACCCATTTATAACCGTATTTATAACCCAATTGCAACCCTTTCAGGGCACTTTATAAGTGGGTTCTAAGTACAGTTATGATTGGGTTACCTCCAAGTAGGGATTAGGGTTTAGGGTTTAGGGTTTAGGGTTTAGGGTTTAGGGTTTAGGGTTTAGGGTTTAGGGCTTAGGGTTTAGGGCTTAGGGTTTAGGGTTTAGGGTTCAGGGTTTACGGTTTAGGGTTTAGGGTTTAGGGTTTAGGGCTTAGGCTTTAGGGTTTAGGGTTTGGGGCTCTGGGCTTCTTTGGAGCTGTAAGGCCGCTCAAGGCCTTTAGTGCCTGGGGCTTAGGGTTTAGGGTTTAGGGTTTAGGGTTTAGGGTTTAGGGGTTTAGGGTTTAGGGGTTAGGGGTTAGGGGTTAGGGGGTTGGGGTTAGGGGTTAGGGTTTAGGGTTTAGGGTTGAGGGAAAATTCGACTTAATTGGGTTGGGTGTCCTGGGTAGTGTGTATGTCAGAATTACATTCCGAACTCCAATGTGGAAGATTGGGAACCGCTTCCCCCGAAACGCTAACCTGTTCACTCCAGAGCCGTGAAGCTGCAAAACCCTTGACAGTTCCATATTCTGTACGGGCTAGTAGTAGAACCATCAGAAGTATATCAGATCGCTAGCCCGTACGTATCATGTGCCTCTTTGGAAATCGAACGTTTAGAAGTTGCGCAAGGCCCCCAAAAACTACCCGTGAAATCCGCTGAGAGTTCCCAGGCACAAAGCTGGTTACTGTACGCCCTGAACCCTAAACCCTAAACCCGAAACCCCACAAAAGCCCCCCCCTACACCCGAGGACAAAGTTTGCGCACCTGCGCGGCAAAACGGCGGGCGGCCGACTCGAACCCGGATATCACATTCTTTCGCACCTTGGGATGGCGTGAGGGCTTCTTGGGTATATAGGGACGATATATAAGGTACATCTAAGGGGAGGGCTACTTAGGTATATAGGGACTATATATAAGGTTTATCTAAACTTAGGTATGTAGGGACTATATAAGGTATATCTAAGGGTTATATTCTAGGGGGCTACTTAGGTATATGAAGTAGGGTATATATTTCTTGTACCCCCAAAAGGACACCAGGTATATACACTCACCAATCTTAACAAGGAACCTTATATACACTCACCAAGAACAGTAATATAAACCCTGCTTCATATAGGGACTATATAAGGTTTATCTAGGGGTTCTATTGTAGGGGAATAAGATGAAGGGCCCCTTCTACTTGGGGGTTCATGGTACTTAACAACCCATTTTAGAACTGCACTTAGAACCGAACTATAACCAAAGAAGGGCACTTAGGGGGCTTGTAAGTGCTGAGGCTTAGCTCGCTGGTTGGCTTTTGCGGGTTGGCGGCCTCTTGGGTCGGCGGCGGAGGCTCTTAAAATTTGGGGTCTGGGGGGCTTAGGGTCCCTTGAAAGCACAGCGGACGTCTCATGAAAGAAGGGCCGCCCCCCCCCCCCCCCCCCTTCACCCCCCCCCCCCCCCCCGAACCCTAAACCCCACCAATACGACCTTCAGAGCCATGCTCGACAAAAGGAAAGGTAAACCCTAAACCCTAAACCCTAAACCCTGAACCCTAAACCCTAAACCCCACCACCCTAAACCCCTAAACCCTGCAGATAGCGGCCTGCTGCAGCTGCCGCACCGTGCGCTCGGGAGCCTTGGCCGCAGGGCCCTCGACCCGCGCAAGCCACCAGGGAATGTCCCTCCTTGCGAGGGGGGAGAGGGGGGGGTTCAGGGTTTCAGGGTTTCAGGGTTTAGGGTTTAGGGTTTAGGGCTTAGGGCTTAGGGCTTAGGGTTTAGGGTTTAGGGTTTTGGGTTTAGAGCTGTTTGGGGTAGAGGTGCTTTGTTAAGTGTGTGGGTGTGTTTGTTTTGTTGCCCTTCTTTCAGGGTTTCAGGGATCACCCACCTCAACCACTGCCCTTAGGGATTGTTTAGGGTTTGAGCGTTTATGCAAGGTCTTTCGATGGTTTATATAGGGCTTTGAGTTCAAAACTCATGATGAGACGCTGGGGGGGGGGGGGACAGGGGTGTATGCAGTCCCCTTCACAGATGGGTGAGTGTGTTTCGTGTGTGTCCTTAACCCCAAACCCTAAACCCCAAGAACAAGCCCCCAGAAAAACCCTAAACCCTCGACCCTAAACCCCAAACCCTAAACCCTAAACCCCAAGAACAACCCCCCAAAAACCAACCCTAAATCCTAAACCCTAAACCCTAAACCCTAAACCCCAAACCCTAAAGTAGGCCCAGCATCGGTCTCAGGGCGGAGACTTCCCCGAGGTGCGACTCCCGGCAGAAACGGGAGACGAGCCGCGCGGCAAAGGACGTCAGCTCCTGAGGGTTTAGGGTTTAGGGTTTAGGGTTTAGGGTTTAGGGTTTAGGGTTTAGGGTTTAGGGTTTAGGGTTTAGGGTTTAGGGTTTAGGGTTTCAGGTTCTGAGGGGTTGCTTGGGGTCTTGTTGGGGCTCTTTTTGGGGGAGTTCGGATTCTCTTTGGGGTTTCTTGGTGGTTTAGGGTTTAGGGTTTAGGGTTTAGGGCTTAGGGCTTAGGGTATCGTCGGTCTTCGGGGTTCCTTTGAGGGTTTAGGGTTTGGGGTTTAGGGTTTGGGGTTTCGATTCTTGGGGGGTTTCTTAGGGGGTTCTTAGGGGCCTTGGGGGGTTTCCTAGGGGGTTCTTAGGGGCCTAAGTCCTCTTTCAAGTTGTTGCAAGTTCTTTCAACGCCCAGGAGCCCCCTTCCATAGGGCTTAGCGTTTAGGGTTTAGGGATTAAGGCTTAGGGTTTAGGATTGGGGTTTTGGGTTTAGGGTTTAGGGCATAGGGATTCTGCCGAAACATGTAGTTTCCCAGATACGAGAACATAAAACTGGAAAAGCCAATCTTTTGTTCAATGGGTTTTTTAGGGTTTAGGATTCATTATAGGGTTCTTAAGGGAGGGGGGTCAAGGGGGTTTATAGAACCCAAGGTACCCTAATGAACCCTACTACTCCCTAAGGCTCCCTAAGCTTCCCTAAAGTTCCCTAGGTACCTACCCCCCATGCACCCCCTCCCTTAAGAACCCTATAAACTGAGGGTAAACAAGCAAACCAAGGGGCGATGAAGCGCCCAAACCACCCCCTAAACCCTAAATCCGAAACCCTAAACCCTAAACCCTAAACCCTAAACCTGCAAAGCCACCCTCCACACATGCGCCGCCGAGCATCCTCGCTGGAGAGCTGGCCCCGGTACTCGTCCTGGGTTTAGGGTTTAGGGTTTAGGGTTTAGGGTTTAGGGTTTAGGGTTTAGGGTTTAGGGTTTAGGGTTTGAGGTTTAGGGTTCAGGGTTCAGGGTTGGGGAAGGAAGGCCCTCCCCAATTCTGGCCCCGATTTGTCTTAACTGCAAGTTGTTGCGGTCATATTATGATGCCATGGGTTGGGCTTCTGCTTTCACGCAAAGGGCATACAGGCCCATGCAATTCTGGGTTCTTTTCGCAATGCAAACTTAGGTCAACATAAAACTTGGTCGGAGGTTGGGGTGAACGTAGAAAAGCATGTAGAAGGCAGAAGTGCGAATAGGGTCTAGGGTTTAGGGTTTAGGGCATAGGGTTTAGGGTTTTGGGCTTTGATTTAGGGGTTAGAGGTTAGGGGTTAGGGGCTAGGGGCTAGGGGCTAGGGGTTATGGGTTAGGGGTTCGGGGCTAGGGGTCAGGGGTTAGGGGTTCGGGGCTAGGGGTTAAGGGTTAGGGGTCAGCGGTTAGGGGTTAGGGTCTAGGGGCTACGGCTTAGGCGTTAGGGGTTCGGGGTTAGGGGTTAGGGGCTACGGCTTAGGCGTTAGGGGTTAGGGGTTAGGGGTTAGGGGGTTAGGGGTTAGGGGTTAGGGGTTAGGGGCTCGCACTTCGGGGGTAGGGGTCAGGGGTTAAGGATTCTTCCCCAACCCCACAGGTCGGCACGCCTCATCCAGAATGGACATCTTCGAAGCAGTGGAACGGGCCTCGGCATCTGCCACTTTGCAGCGCTTGGGTTTATGGGGTTTGGGGTTTAGGGTTTAGGGTTTAGGGTTTAGGGCTTAGGGTTTAGGGTTTAGGGCTTAGGGTTTTAGGGCTCTCTTGCGGGGGTGCGGAAGGCTGCTGGCCAGCCCACAGCCCTACCGCTGCCGCCTTTGCCCTCAGATCATCCTGGCTTTTGAGCCCTCGACACTTTCAGGGTTTAGGGTTTAGGGTTTAGGGTTTAGGGTTTAGCGCTTAAGGTTTAGGGCGTTCTTTCGTTCACAGAACCTGGCTAAGTCCAGAAAAGAGAGCATTGTCTACAGCAACTGGGCTTGAACACGTCTGTTCCAACATGTTAGGAGGGAAAACCCCCATCCTCGACCATGTTGATCATATCCCCATACAGGCTGTTCGCAAAAACTTCAAGTCTCTTTCGATAAACCTTGTAGAAATTGCTCGAAGTTGGCAATCAGGATCCACAGTTCATGAACCCTGGGAATGATAACAGCTATCACGGAAGGTTAAAGGTGTCCCGAAGGTCTGGGTTAAGGTTTTGGGTTTTGGGTTTGGGGTTCAGGGTTCAGAGTTCAGGGTTTTGGGTTTTGGGTTTGGGGTTTAGGGTTCAGGGTTCAGGGTTTAGGGTCTAGGGCAGCCCAACAATTCGGACCTTCTTTCTTGCTCCTGTATGCCACAAATCCGTGCCATGCACTGTGGGGAGCTCGACAAAGAGACTAAGTCTGGCAATGAGGCGGTGAAACGTGTGAGTTCAAATCTCAAGTGAGAGGGTGCTCTTCATTTACCACCCGAAGCCGTAAACCCTAAACCGTAAACCCTAAACCCTAAAAATGTATTGCGCAAGGGCCCTTCTGTCTGAAAAAAGAAATGCGATGCGAGACAAGGGGCTATCTACAAGACACACCACGGACACAGGGGCCACTTCAGAACATCCCGGCTTCCTCCTCGGCCATCGCCCACATCTCCTTGCGCATCTTGGTGTCGAAACTCTCCTTTCGCTCGGGCTTGGGCTTGGGCGCCGGCTTCTTGGACCCGCTGGAGCTCGAGGCGGCCTTTGCGGCGGCCTTCTTCTTCTTCCGCTTGGCCGGCTTCAGCTCCAAGACGTCCGGCTGCAAAGCCAGGAATCTCTGCAGAGCCTATACTCCCCCTTAGAACCTTCATAAAAAATAATATTCTTAAGATCCTCTTGGGTTTTATATAAACAAAAAGTCATTCCCAACAAGGATGTAGAAGCTACCACGGTCTGCTTCCCCAAGCCGGAGTCCAAGGGGCCGGGATTGCAGCCCCGCTGCGTCAGGAACTTCTGCAGCGCCAGGATGGTGACGGCGCCCATGTCGCCATCTTCCTTGCCTTCGTATTTAGGGTTTAGGGTTTAGGGTTTAGGGTTTAGGGCTAGGGTTTAGGGTTTCGGGACCTAAGGGTGGGGACTCCTTTTCCTCCTCATTCTTTAAGAACCTTGCCTTTGTATAAGGGTTCAGACTCGTTTTCCTCCTCGTTCCTTAAGAAATTCTGGAGGGCCATGGCGGACTTCTTGCCCCAAGAGCCATCCACCTTGATGTCTTGCTCCTCGTCTAGCAAGAACTGCTGGAAAAGCTCCGTGTTCTTCCCACCATCCTTCACACCCTTCCTCAGTTAGTAACCTGGGGGAATGAAAGGATAACCTTTTGGGATTCTTAAGGGGATTCTAGTACCACAAAAAAGGTTTGAAGGTCTCCTAACTCTACGACTCGGCTTCTTGAAGTCGACGTCGTAGCCCTCATCTTTCAGGAAGAGCTGCAAGGCCTTCTCGGTGGTGCCGCCCCAATCGCCGTCCTCCGCGCCGCAGTAGAAGCCTTCCTGGTTGAGGAACTTCTGCAGCGCCGTCACGGACTTCTTCCCGAAATCCCCGTCCGCCGACGATTCCAGGAGGGCTGGCATGGCTCCGGAAGTATTGGGGTCGTTGCAGGAGATGACTTGAGCCAAAACGGCTTAAGCCATACCTATTGGCCTTCTCTTCATCAAGGAAATCTTGTTAAAGACAGGGGACTATAAGGGCCCGTCTTGGGATTTTTGTAAGGGGAACCGTTAGGGGTACAACCTTTGGGTACGAGTCTTAATCTCTTAATCCCTTGAGTTCAGGGTTTGACCCTCTAGCCACCCCAAGACCTTCTCTCAAGAGAAGTGCTCGTTATGCAATCAGCAGTGACCCTAAACCCTAAACCCTAAACCCTAAACCCTAAACCCTAAACCTAAACCCTAAATAGACCCTTTCTGTTGGGGCGTCAGCTCATGAGATTAGGAGGTAGCATAGTAACCCCCAGCCAGTCATCCCTACTTCATACTGTCTTTACCTTCCCACTTCTACACCCTAAACCCTAAACCCTAAACCCTAAACCCTACGTGCCTTGCGCAAGGCTGAGGCTTCAAAGAAACCCTATTATCATCCCCCATAACCCACCTTACCACCCCTGCTTCCTAGGTCAAAAGGGCTTCCAAGTAGAGGGCTTGCCGTGCAAGGCTTACAAGGCCTGTGAGTACTTGGCGGTTCAGGGTCCTTAGTAACCCAATTATAGCTGTACATCTAACCCAACTGCAGCCAGATTAGGGCACTTAAGGGGCTTAAAAGTGGGCTATACGTACCCTAAACCCTCAACCCTCAACCCTCAACCAGGCTAAACCAAAAACCCTCAACCCTCTAAACCCTAAACCCTAAACCCTAAACCCTAAACCCTAAACCCTAAACCCTAAACCCAACCCTAAACCCTACAAGCACGGTTTTCATGGGGTTACAAGTGCCCTGAACCTAGGTGAAAGCACACCTGAGTCACACTTGGGAGCCCCGAGGGCTCAGCACCACTCCGGTTTAGGGTTTAGGGTTTAGGGTTTAGGGTTTAGGGTTTAGGGTTTAGGGTTTAGGGTTTAGGGTTTAGGGTTTAGGGTTTGGGGTTTGGGGTTTGGGGTTTGGGGTTTAGGGTTTAGGGTTCAAGGCGTTTCGGCCTTTGGGGCTTTCAGGGCATTAGGGTGTTGGCGTGTTAAACCCTGAAGCCCCCCAAAACCCCCGCCCGGCCGAGCCCTGTAAGGGCGAAGCTTCTTGGGCCCACTTCAGCAGTTGTCGCGCTCGCCGGGTATGCGTGGGCCAGATTCGGCCGGTGTATTCCTTCACTGGGGTTCTGCCCTTGCCTCGAAGGGTTTAGGCTCAAAGAAGGGTCTCCAGGGCTTTGGGTTAAGGGCTGCAAGGTTGCAGGGCTTAGGGTTTGGGCGTAGGGGGCAAAAGTGGACATTGGCTCTTCCGTTGACTTCGATCTGAACCGAGTCACTCCCAGTGTCCCTTCCTGAAGGTATATTCCCTACGCGTTGAGCAGGATGTGGTGCTCGGGCCTAGGGGTTCTACACCCTAGAATCCTCAAGCCCTAAACCCTACACCCGAAACCCTAAGCCCCAAAACCCCTAAACCCCTAAACCCCTAAACCCGAAACCAAACCCGTCTAGACCCTACAAACCAGGACCTTGAATTGTGGGATGCTAGACTACCCCCACCTCTACTACAGTACCCCACGCCGATGAATAGGCCCAAGTAATTAAGGCTGAAATGCAGCCCTTGAACCCTGAACCCTAAGTAGGGTTTAGGATTTAGGGTTTAGGATTTCAAGGTTTAGGGTTAAGGTTTAGATTTTAGGGTTTAGGGTTTAGGGTTTAGGGTTTAGGTTTAGGGTTTAGGGTTTAGGGTTTAGGGTTTAGGGTTTAGGGTTTAGGGTTTAGGGTTTAGGGTTTAGGGTTTAGGGTTTAGGGTTTAGGGTTTAGGGTTTAGGGTTTAGGGTTTAGGTTAGGGTTTAGGGTTTAGGGTTTAGGGTTTAGGGTTTAGGGTTTAGGGTTTAGGGTTTAGGGTTTAGGGTTTAGGGTTTAGGGTTTAGGGTTTAGGGTTTAGGGTTTAGGGTTTAGGGTTTATGGTTTAGGTTTAGGGTTTAGGGTTTAGGGTTTAGGGTTTAGGGTTTAGGGTTTAGGGTTTAGGGTTTAGGGTTTAGGGTTTAGGGTTTAGGGTTTAGGGTTTAGGGGGTTCAAACGTCCTGCAAGGCCACGCGGGCAAGGATGCAGTCTTGGAAGCAGCCGGCCTCAAGATGTGGGATCCCAGACACCCCTCAGGTGTAGGGTTTAGGGTTTAGGGTTTAGGGTTTAGGGTTTAGGGTTTAGGGTTTAGGGATGAGAGATCTTTATGCTAAACCCCCCTTCACCCACTCCCCCACCCAGCCTGAGTTGTTCGAGCCTTCTGTGGTGTATAGTATGGCCAGAGTTAGCCCTGAACCCGAAATCCTAAACCCCCCTAAACCCTAAACCCCAAACTTGGGCTAGCTCGGGTGTGGCTTTAACAAAAAAAGTAAATCCCCAGAAGCCCCAAAATTCAAAGGGGAAGAGATCACCGAACGCTTGAGGCCATAGTCCCTCTTTCTTCCTGAGATCTACTTGGAGGTTCGTCTTAATAACCAATTGAAACTGTACTTTTAACTTATAAGCCCCTTGATTACCCTAATATGGTCATGATTGGGTTTAAAGTACATTTACTATTTGGATAGTAAGTACCATGAACCTGCAAGTATGGCCAACGCTCTCAAGCCCTAAAACCAAAACCAACCGCAGTATCCCTTGTTTGGGTTCCTTAACCCTACACTCATCTGTCTAAAGCGGCCGAAAAAACGAACCGTAGGTGAAGACCTTGCCCCAAGTCCCTAAATCACCCCTAAACAACCCTAAAATTCTAAAGCCCCAGTAAGCCAAATATCCTAAAGCCGCTAAAGCCCGCAAACCCCAAGTGGAGCCACACTGGCCACACTTAACCCTAGACTAGGCCCAAAACCCGAAACCCCAAACCCTAAACCCTCAACCCTAAACCCCAAACCCGAAACCCTGAACCCTAAACCCTAAACCCCTTAACCCCTTAACCCTAAACCCCGAAACCCCGAAACCATAAACCCGAAACCCGAAACCCTAAACCCCTAAACCCCTAAACCCTAAACCCTAAGCCCTAAACCCTAAACCCCAAACCCTAAACCCGCAACCCCAAACCCTAAACCCTAAACCCTAAACCACAAGGGCGGGGCCTCTGAGGAGGAGCAGATCAGAATCCGTGCCGCCGCATCGACCAGCCTCGGCTTAAAGCCGTTGGGGGTTTGTTAGAGTCTACGGCTCGGGAGTTTGTAGGGTTTAGGGTTTAGGGCTAGGGTTTAGGGTTTAGGGGTTTAGGGTTTGGGGTTTGGGGCTTAGGGTTTAGGGTGTAGGGTTTAGGGTTTGGGGCTCGGGGTCCACTAAACCCTGTTTCATATGCCAACC